AACACATATTTGCTGCAATTAAGTAAACTTTATAGAGTTCTAATGAAAAACATTATGATTTTAGGTGTGTACAGCTATTCCTAAATTGTCACCATTGGTAACAGTGACTACTGGTAACATTTGGTAAAGTTTTTTCCGTGTCATGATTATTTTTGTAGTGACAGAATGGAATGTTCACTCATTTGTTTTAATAAAGCAAACATACCTGAGGCATAAGCTCAATCAAAGCAAAAGGATTTTGGTCAGTTGGAAAGAATGTTATTTGGTAGAATAATCCATATATAAAAGTGGAGCATTTAATAACTGCAATCAAACTGCTTGAAATGATAATTACTATTTTTGTCAAAATCACAGTCCTACACGCAGACGAGCAGCAAACGATCTGTGACTGGAGAATCTGACATTCAATTAAATGCAGAAAAAGGGAAAAAATCCCACACAGTCAATCTTCACAATCCACTGTCTGCTTACTGAGAAGAGCTTGAGGCAAAACGTAAGGCTCAGACATGCCCTTCAACTTGTTTACTGTTTTAAAAGACTGAAACCAAAGACTTAAAACAGCAAAGCAATTTTCTCTCAAGCAGTGATTGCTGTACATGTTTTCTATCGGCGAAGGTAAACACACTGCTGCAGTGAACATTTTCCACCATCTGCACTGTATTTGTCAGAATTCAATAAAGAAACCCACAGCCACTGTTTCAGCAAGTGGAGCAAATTTGTAATCAGTGATTGTGGATTAAGAGTGTGTGTGTGCGTGTGTGTTTACATTTGTATGCATCTGAAACATGCGAGTGTGTGTCCTGGACTTTCTCTGGATCAAACTGACAGCTCAGCAGAGCTCTCATGGCCGCCAGGTTTACATACATCCGGGAGCCAACATTTACGGTGTGTTTGACGACACTGCAAAAAGGCGACGTGGGCTTTGCTTAGAAAGCCTTGACCTCAGTAGCCATGGCTAACTGACTATAGAGCAGGGCTCTGTAACGTGGACAAAATATCACACAGCGATTACACTGCCTTATATTTTAAACACAATTGTGAACTTTCATGAAAGAGAAATTCCACAAACTGTCCTCATAAATAAATCAGGAAGATGTAAACAAAGTCATTCAGAGTGGTTTGATGTGAAATCCTCCGCTCTAAAAAAACTGAAACTGTCAGAAATGTTCACAGTGGTGATGATAGGAACCACACATCCAAAGCATTTAATGCTACCAAAACCTACCTCACAGAAAGATATCATACAAAATAGTTATGAATATGCTGCCTGATGCCTGAGAGATTGTTTTATGACACTTTTGAGATATTATTTTGGGCTTTGGCGTATTTTTAAAATCCATTTATGGCAAAGATGTACATGCAGGGTAGTTTAAGGCAAAACAGTCTTTAATCAATATTACATATGATTACGTATGAAAGACAGCAGACATGCAGAGGTTTACTGGTATATACACAGATCAGGCATAACATTATGACCACCTCCTTGTTTCTACGCTCACTGTCCATTATATCAGCTCCACTTACTATATAGGTGCGCTTGTAGCTCTACAGTTACAGACTGTAGTCCATCTCTTTCTCTGCATACTTTGTTAGCCCCCTTTTACCCTGTTCTTCAGTGGTCAGGACCCCCATGGAACCTCACAGAGCAGGTACTATTTGGGTGGTGGATCATTCTCAGCGCTGCAGTAACACTGACGTGGTGGTGGTGTGTTAGTGTGTGTTGCGCTGGTCAGTGTCACTGCTGAACTGAGAACAGTCCACCAACCAAAATATCCAGCCAACAGCGTCCTGTGACCACTGATGAAGGACTAGAGGATGACCAACACAAACTGTGCAGCAGCAGCTGAGCTATCGTCTCTGACTTTACATCTACAAGGTGGACTGACAAGGTAGGAGTGTCTAATAGAGTGGACAGTGAGTGGACACAGTGTTTAAAAACTCCAGCAACACTGCTGTGTCTGATCCACTCGTACCAGCACAACACACACTAACACACCACCACCACATACTGCAGTGCTGAGAATGATCCAGAATGATCCAGAATGATATATTTACTGTGAATCATGAGCCTTAAACACTTATAAAAACTCATCAAGAAATGTCTGTGATTGTTCAGGTAGCCAAAGTACACAATAAACAATTTTGTCTCATTTGCATATTGCTGCTTTCTGTGAAATCAGTATTGCAAAGGCAACAATTAACAAACACCGTGTTTTGGAGTGCTCATATTTGCCCATATTTGTATTTCTTATATGTGTGCTCTGCACAAGTGGACAGTTTGAACAGGACATGTACATTCATTTATCCTTAAAATTATCCACAATATTTGTTACATTTAGGTTTTTCACTGGGAAACAGCACGTGGCTACATTCCCTCAGGGAAATCTGCTCCATGATTGGTGTTGCCGTTGTCCGTTCTTCTTTTGTTCCTGGGTTTAACGTAAATGTCTGTTTTTACAGACCTCTGAGTATAAACTTGTACTTTTTGGAGTCTGTATACACTATTTGTTGGTCACAGTACCAAAGCAGAGCTTTTTTAACAGGACCCTCGAGAACAACCTAACAACCACCAGGTGTACAGCTGTGTGAGTGAAAGGGGGCCGGTCAGTGTGTGTCTCTGGAGCACAGAGCACCACACACACACACACACACACACACACACACACACACTCTCTCTCTCTTACAATCTGACCACCAATGATGTGTCTCTTGGGATTTAGTGGTCGGTTGTGGTAATTGAGTTTGCTGACCTGCAGCCTGACCCTGGTGGAGAGCAAGAAAATGACATTAAATAGCAGTCACATTACAGCCGTGTGTGTGTGTGTGTGTGTGTGTGTGTGTGTGTGTGACAGGTAAGTCCTGGCCCTGACAACTAAAGGCGACCTTACGAGAGAAAGTCAGGACTCCAAAACAACACACAAACAGGCATGGTGAACACACACACACACACACACTTGCTTTTATATTCCATCATGATGTCATGAAAGTAGGCTCATATATACATCCTAATTGTATTACTATATGTATTATATATTGTATATGTATATACATGTAATAATAATAATAATAATAATAATAATAATAATAATAATGCCCATGTATACTTTTATACACAGGTATGTATGTAATAGAAATATGTTGCATATTTGTTATATAAACATATAAGTACCTATGTGTAATTATAATATGTGCCCATATATATTATTTCCATGAAAATAACAATATATAATGAGAATCTGTCCAATATGTATACATACATACATACATACATCATCTAAACCGCTTATCCTTCTGGGTCACGGTGGGGTGCTGGAGCCTATCCCAGTTGTCACTGGGCGGAAATATATATATATATATATATATATATATATATATATATGTGTGTATATATATATATATATATATATATATATATATATATATATATGTATCATTATTGTCAGAACAAAACTTTGTTTTTGTTTTGTTTTTGTTTGTTTTTTTTACTTGTTTTGAATTTTTTTTTATTTTTTATTTAATTTAAAAATGACAGATACCCTTTACAGTGTGTTAAAACATTATAATGAATGGCCAAATAGAAACAGTCCCAAATTACTTAGAAAAAAAATCCATTAACTTCTATTCAACTTTAAAACTGTTCTTTCTTTCTCCTGTAAAGTTACTAAAATGGAGACACTAGGTTTTGTCGCAGTACCTTTCGCTGACAGGAAGAAATAGTTTTTGGGTAGGCCTGTCAAAAAGTGGGTAGGCCACTTTGGAAGTTACATTTTAAAAACATGCCATGTCCCGCAGTGTCATTACCTTAGGCTACAGCCTATTGCTGACAGCAGTGAAGTCATCATGATACCTATTCCAATACTTCTGCACTATAGTGATACAAAACAACAGCAAGACTGTGTATATCAGCCAGAGTGCTCGATTCACATAAATCCAAATAGCATTGCATCACCCTTCAGTATAAAGCCTGCGCTCGACACAGGGACAACTTTGGTCCAAATCAGACGGCTGAGATGTCGAGGAAAATGAACACAACAAACTTAAAACCTAAAACATGAAGGACCCTAGGCTAAAAATGTTACAGGATCATTGATATCCTACCCTTGCCATGCAAATTCATGGACCAAAGACACACTGACATTTTGACACAAGCTGATGTTTTGTAAATGTGTCTTTAGTTTTGGAATCAGGTAGCAAATGGGTACTGTACTGTACTGAGGTCTCACTTTTACATTTCTTTCCAGATGCATCTTATTACCATAGCTGGAGTTTTAAACTCAAAATACAGGACACAATGGCCCACTGCCAAAGAACTGAAAGCAACACTTGCTGATGCAGCTTAGTAAATGTTCTTCTCCCATTTAATTGGCCTGTGATCAATCTGGGAAGGCCTGGACCTAACCAGGTCTAACATGCCTGGTACCTACTACCTACCCGTGGTGCCAGGTGAGATTGAAATTAACATATCCTCTACAGAGAACACACGTCATATTTAGTTGTTTTCTCTGAAGAAGGATGTGTTTTGACATGTTAACTTATTTTCGCTTAGAAAATCAACAAAACGTAATTTGACCAGGGGTGTTTAAACTTTTGCATATGACTGTGGTAGAACTACATCCATTAAAAAAGATAACATGGCTCACTGTGAATGAAAGCAAGAAGGTGAAAACTTGTGTGTGTCTATTTACATGATAATAAACACCCACTCTGAGCTTTTGTGCACTCTTAATATTAACACTTTTGATGAAGGGTTACTCTATTTGTGACAACATCAACATTCAAATAATGCAAAGCTGTTTTGATATTTATTGATTTGTTTGCTCTCTGGATGCCCATCATGTTGACAGTAAACAACATAGAAAACAAGTATTTTATACACTGTAGGTCGGGTCTACTTTTCTCTGGGTTTTCTAAGTTCATCAGTGTTAAAGAACCCACACATAAACGCATTACTTTCTCTGCTGTGTCCAGCTGTACAAACACAGCCCCTCACAGATCCATACCTGTGTGCGAGAGCCCCCCAGGCTCCATGCTTGTTGGTGAGGATGTTGACGATTTTCTGCTTCAGCTGGTTGGCGGTGACGTGGTCGCGGTGTTTGGCGGCGCTGATGAGGTGATCGCACATCTTCTCCTCTTCTCTCCGGTCTGCAGCGTACTGCGCACAGTTCGACTAGAGCAGGAACCACAGAGACTTAGCATTAGCACAGATTCACAAACATGATCATTAACTATTCAAAACAACAACAAAGTGTCTCAGTTAGCTGAGCTTGGGAGCATTTGTTTAGCTTTTAGTCACTTATGTTACAAAAAATATTTTATTGCGGGCTGCCACTGAAGAACATTATATACATCACACAAATAATAATAATAATAAAAATGGGCAACTTCATTTTTAAAAAAAATTTTTTAGCCTACATTGCAACAACAAAATATTATAAACTACTGACTGCTATTCAGTAAATGAAACTTTTAAAGACATATTTAATATACAAATAACTTGGACTGAAAGTTTATTACTACTATTTATTACTATTAATATCAATTTCTTTTTTGCCTCTGTAAAGCGACCTTGGGTATGAGAAAGGCGCTATATAAATTGAAAATATTTTTGTATATGAAATATAATACAGCTTCAAAGCAAGAACAAGTTTTTACAAATGTAATGTGCATTTAATATAAACAGTGATATAGCACAATACAGCACAGTTGTGTTATTTCACGTTATTTACTGTGTGCCCCCAAACCCCAACCTCAAAATCAACCCCAAACAACCCCACACACATGAAGACACAACTGTATTCAATTCATCTTAGCCAGCTTGCATCATTTGCCTTTAGATCATGTTTCAAAATATAGCTGATTGCCATTTCTCCTAACTGAAACTGATTTTTAATATCTCTTTCTGAAACATTTCTATAATGTATTCACTCATTGTGCACAAGTGACAAGCATTCAAAGGTAATAAAATAGCCAAAAGAATGCAGTGTGAAAAGGATAAATGGGAAAATGTATTACATTTAAGTAATAAATTATAGGAATAATCAGACAGACTAATCTCACAAGCCATGGTGGGTGATAGTAAATCCCATGAAGACAAACATCATATTTATCATCCACGTACTGATATTTACACATTATCCTCACAGTACATTTTTCAGTGTGCTATAAATAACAGCACTGAGGCTGTAATTTCAGCTGAACAATCGATGCAGATACACTGTAATATGTTGTGTGTATGTAATATCTTGGAAATCAAATATGGGTGATGTCAGGCACACATTTTGACACACTTTGATTTAAGATGGCACAGTGGTTAGTGCTTAGGTTAGGCCTCTAAACTTAGTGCACTGAATTGGTGTTCCAAATCCAGGATGAATAAGAAGATAATCATGATCAGCAACATCAAACCACACCCTAAGAAATACAGGCAACACCTTCTTTTACAGTGTAATAAGCTGTAGGTATTTACCAGGTAAGTGTGAGTTACAAACTTCAAAGCAATCTTTTCGGTAACACGCTATGCAAAATAAATACCTAGTGTTTTGGAGTTTATACCTCACACTTACCTGCTTAGTATCTCAATCTTAAAGGGATATTCTTTAAAAATTCTGGATTATTCAGTCGTTGAGATGTGAACAAAGTCATTCAGACTGGTTTCATGTGAAATTACTCATTTACACTTACTTTCTTTACTGTGGTGCTAATAGGAACCAGGGGTCACATGTCTACAATGTAAACAGTTTCATTTTATTTACTATCCAAAACCACCAGTGGACCTACATGTCTTCTGAATGTTCATATGCAACATTCATAATGGTAAAATAGTGGTAAATCCTAAGAAAAGCTGGCCCCACTTTATATTCATTGTCTCTTATAACTGTGTATGTATACATTAATAATGCATGCAACAACAATGTAACAATGTAATGTGACTAGTGAGGCATTCATTGTTACAGAAGTACAGTTTATGTAACTGCAGAAGAGTATCTTAAAGTGTATCATAATGTAGATAATTAACACACCTCCTGATATAATAAGAAATATCTTGTAAAAACAACAGCTTTCCTTGTTATACATGCGTAATTGCATGAACAATATATGCTGTTACACTTGTGTAATTACATGAATAAAAAGTAATACACATAAGCTGCTTTACTGTAATCTGCCTGTAATGGAGCATACATAACAAGTAGTTACATTGTTATTGCACACGTTGTTGTGTGACTGCAAAGTTATTCGAGACACTTAATGTAAAGTGGGACCAAAAAGCTTTCTTATGGGACTATTTTGCCTTACAACACCCTGCATGTACCTCCAACATGAATGGATTTTAAAAAGCATGTTATAAGTATAAGTATGTGCCAAAACCTGATTGCAAAACTTCTGTAAAACAAAGTTTCAGTCATCAGGCAATGTATTCCTCACCACTTCACATAACTGATTTCTGTGAGGTGGTTTTTAGAGGCACTACACTCTTCAGACATCTGGTTCCTGCCCTCACTGATGGGAACAATTCAGACTCCCTTTCCTATAATGATGCATTCCATATCAAACCACTCTGAATGACATCTTTAGGATTTAATTATTCAGAAATGAATAATTATTCAAAATTAATAATTGTGGACTGCAAAAGAAAGTGTTACCCGAATGTATCTACAAGCTCATCCCAGTTCGCAGCTGTCTCTGCCTTTGAGCTCTAAGGATACAATAAAGGAAACTGCAGACTCTGCATTTTAGCTCCACTTGCTAGGCTGAGAATAACACAAGCACAGGTACTCCTGAAAGCTCCAAATGTAGATCGGAGCTCCTCTGAGACTGAGAGGCTTCACAGCATCCCTCCAGAGCAAAGCAGACGTGAGGCAGTGGCCTGACTTCATCTTCCCTGCTAAAATAAGATTGTCTTTCCGCGCAGCTCCCAGCCCCCACACACACCCGAGGGGGATCTCTGGCTAATATTCAAAATCTAATTTGCTAACAGAAGCTTTCAGGCAGAGGAGGAGGGGGTAATTGAATTTCCTGCCTTATATTTGAATTCTGTCAGATATTATACCTCGACATATTCTTCAAACGGCCCGATAACTCAATCTCCCGGTGTCATCTCGCTTTAGTGGGTGACGTGCTGACAAATATCAAGCGTTATTTATCACTTCAAGAGGGATATGAGGGTTAGAAGTGACACCGGTTTAATTGTAAAAACGTCTTATCTGCCTACCGGATCTTCAATCTTTGCGAGCGGCTAATAAAGTGGAGGCGAAGAGGGATGAGGAGTGCATGTTGCCCTGGTTTTGGCAGGCAGGATGAATCGTGGGCCAGGTACGCTTCCCATCCTCGCCACTGACGCTGCCTATCTTAGAGTGTGCTGCGGTTTATCTAGTGGGTCAAGGATCCTCAAGAGCAGTACATCAAACAGCTGCCCGAGGAAGGCTGCTGCTTCCAGATAAGAAACTCATCACTTCTACTGGAGTCAGGAGACCGGTTCCTGTGCTGCTCAACGTATATGTGTACGTGTGTCACTGAAGGCTCATGACACATGCCTTTATATGTGCGGGATGCTTCATTTCCATTCATAGTGCCTACTCCGTCACTGTCACCACTGCTCTCCTACACCTTGGTTTATAGATAATTTTATATATGCATGTACACACACACACGCACACACACACACACACACACACACACACACACAGAGATGTACACAGTGTGGTCCAAAAGTCTGAGACTTTTTTTCTTATTTAAATTTGGAAATAAGCAACACAGCAGTGGGTAGCACTGTCGCCTCACAGCAAGAGGGGGTTCGATTCTCCGGGCCAGGTGACCAGGGGTCCTTTCTGTGTGGAGTTTGAATGTCCTCTCCATGTCTGCAAGGGTTTCCTTCCACAGTCCAAAGACACGCAGTCAGGTTAATTGGAGATGCTAAATTTCTTCTAAGTGTGAATGTGTGTGTGCCTGTATATGTCTCTGTGTCTGCCCTGTGAGGGACTGTGACCCGTCCAGGGTGTTTCCTGCCTTCCACTCAGTGACCACAGGGATAGGCTCCAGCACACCCACGACCCAGAAGGACAAGCAGCTTAGATAATGTGTGTGTGTGTGTGTGTGTGTTATGACTAGCAAAAAGAAGAAATATTCAAAATTCTGCACTATTTCTAGGTCACTAATTTAAGAAAATTTGTGACTCTGACCGTTTCGTGGTATTTTGACAAAAGGTCAGACTTTTTTTTTGTTGTATCTCTTCCACTGAAGTTTGTGTTCAGACGACTATTCAGGACTGATCTACTCATCAGAGGCTTTCGCACAAACTTGTGAAGTCAAAAGGACATTTCAAATACTAAGAAGTTCTAAATTCAAGCTGAAATTTCACAGAAACTCCTTTTTATTCAAACTGGTATAATGACAATAGAATCTGTAATGAAAATTAATGAAAATAATTAGAAAGGAATGTGAAATAGAAGCATTTTTACTAGTAGTCTCAGACTTTTGGACCCAAACTTTTGCAGTCTGAATAAAACTTCATAACTCTGTTACTTTACAGGACAAATTTCTTAATGTTTTCATGTAAATTAAAGAACTTGTATTGCACATTTTCCTGTATTTTCCCCCTTAAATTCTATATTTGTGTGGTTTAAATCATTTTCCATGGCCATTTTCCAACCTCTATTTATCTCTTACAATTAAACAGGCTATTTTTGATACTGTACTTTTAAGAGACATATATGTAAATGGCCTCTGTTCTGGACTGAGACAGGGCTAATCCGCTGTGTTCTGAATGGACAGGGCTAAACTTTTGTAGGCAGATGAAGTAAATATACTGTATGTAAATATGCTTTTTGTGACATCATAATAATGAATTCAAAACAAGCTGTAATGCAGCTTAGCTTCCATATATATGAACAGTATGACCACAGTATGAGTGGTACATTTCAAAACCTCAACAGTGTTTATATATCACATTAAATGCTTGTACAGTCATATTGAAAAGTTTGGGCACCCCCAGTCAAATTACGTTTTGTCGATTTTCTGAGTGAAAATAAGTGAACACATCCTCAACAGAGAACACACAATTACTGTTTATTTGCTGAATGTAACATAAAAAATAAAAGAAAACATAAAATGTGCTCTGTGTAAAAGTTATGGCACATTTTATATTTGATGTTTTTTTTCAATATGTTAAAGCTCTAACATATTGCAAACAAATAGAAGCTGTGCACTAAAATGTGCACTAAAATCTGTTCCCTGTACAGGATTTATTAATGTATGTTAACCTTTGCAGAAGGACTGTATTAAAAAATATTTTTCCATCATTATGGTATTTGATGTAACATATTTTTGTTGTTATTTTTGGATCATTTCTACTTGTCCATTCTCCTCACAACAAAGTATACTGCTAACAGCTTTTATTTCCATTTACTAATACATCCAATACTAGTACTATCATATTATAATGTAACAGTGCAACAGCATAACATCACAATATTACACCTGGCAATAGTTTTAGAAATAATGTATTATGTTTAGCAAACAGAAAAGATTTCCAGCTATTCTTTTTTGCTCTCTAAAGCTACTGACATAATGGATCCTCTGAACTAGCTAAGCTTTAATTCTCCCCCAGCTTAAGCTGTTAATGAGTGGAGTTCTCTATAGCCTCTTGATTAAAAAAGCTAACAGTTCAAGACGTGGCACAAATGCTATCACCAGAGACTGGGCTTTAATTTGGCGAGAGGGGCCTAATGTGCAAATTGGAGCAGAGTTATTAAATCTCTTTCTTCTGGGCTAATATGTGTGGATTAATCTCCACTGGGAGACACAGGGCTGGATTACGAGGCCACCCCCACTCTGGGCTTTTGGGGGGATTTTCATCATTGCCTGTATCTTTAACATGTGCAGAGATATCTAATTCATACAATCAGATTTCTCCTCGGATCACTGACCCCCTGGGGTTAGATTAGAGCAGAGGGAGATTAGAGATTGTAGTCATGATAAAAGATGCTGTTGCAGATTCCATGGCAGTATTTGTTTATATTATTTGGAAAATTGGTCACAAAGCTTACTATGGGCATTAAATGCTTATTTTCCTAAATAGATGCTGGTTTTGAACTCTAGTGTAGTCCAGAAAACCCAATGTGGTAATGTGGGTAATGTGGTAACAAGTAGTCCATCTGAATGAAGGCTGGGCCAGGGTCTGCCTCAACATTAACATGGGTTCAGTGCACACTGTATGTAGAAACTATCCATCCTCACTTGTGCACCCAGTAATATTATTTGTTCAAAATGTCAAATTATGTCCAATGTCAAGTTTTCTCTCTTCTTTATTAATACAGGGTGGTAAATAATAACAATTGCTTGTATGCAGATGCACAACATTTGCACATTAGCCCCAATTTTGTTTTATTAAATAAGGAGTACAAAGAGCACTGCATAAAAAGTCACCTAAAGACAGCCTGAGAAGGCTAACAATCTTCCCAAGTGAGCAAGGTATGTTGTTTGCAGGTGAACCTGCATGACACACGCTACACTCCCAGCAATAAATGGTTCATTGTGGTCAGTGTTGGGGACCATGTATCTGTTTCCACTGACTGATGTTAGTTTCTAGGTTTTTAAAGAAGCAATGTGTAAGATTTATGGGGATATATTAGCAGAAATGGAATATCGTATACAAAACCATGTTTTCGTCAGTGTATAATCAGCTGTGACTATGAATCACTGTGTTTTCGCTAGCTTAGAATGAGCCCTTTCAAATCTATATGGGGAGCGGATCCTCTCCCAACAGAAGCTGCCATGTTGCGCCGCCATGCTTCTACAGCAGCCCAGAATGCACAAATCAAACACTGGCCCTAGAGAGCACTTTTCGTGTTCTTACGTTGAAGCAGCAGCTATAGCAACGCTATAAAACACACAAAGAATAATCAGTGGTTGCTGCCGGTGCTGGCTAAACATTATGTGTTGCAAGACATTTGAGACCCAAACTTTTACAAATGGAGGATCATACTTATTATTTAGCACAAGAAAAAGCAAAAGAGGGTGAATCCTCATCAGGAAAGAAGTGAAAGGATAAAGAAGCAAAACCAAATCGGAACAGGTGACGGCAGAAAACCTGATGGCCACCATAGGTTCTATTACACGCTCATAAAGAGAGGGGTGGGGGAGGTGTTGGTTGCAATCTGCAACCTCACTGCAAGATGCCACTAAATTTCAAATCAAATTATTAACTAAATTAACTGAGCAAACAAGCTGTCTTGTTCAGAGCACTGGTAGGGATAGTGACATTGGTTATAAAGTAACTAGTGGTTATCACTCTTCATACCTTCTAATTGGTACAGGTTTGTATGGGCTTTAGAAAGTAAAATTAAAGGAAGTAATATATAATATAGATATATATCTTCTTTTGGGTGTATGCTTACATTCTATATTTTGGTTAATTGCCAACCCTCATTATTGATAACTATAAAAATGAGCGTGATTCTAAACTGAATGGGCACTACAGTGACCATTTTAAACCTACTTTTGTAAGATAAAAATTGGACCAACATAAGTTAAATCAACACTACTAATTTAAGTTCAACAAACTTTAATGAGTTGAGGTGAAAATATGATAGAGGTTTAGCCAATTTTAGTAAATTACATTAAATAACAACTGTACCTTATTTTTGAAGAAAGATTTGAAGTTATTTGCCTAATTAAATTAAGTTCAGCTAAAGAGTGATTTGTTTTAGGGTAATATGCAATCCCATTACAGTTTGAGAGAAGTAATTAGTAATTTGTAATGGATTACTTTTTTGAGTAATTACCCCAAGACTGATTATGGTTCGTGTATTGGAAATTGACTGGTAGCATCTAGTGTTCTGTCCACAAATGTGGGCAGAACACTATGTGTAGCAACTGCTGCAAGTCTGGAAAAGCTTTACAGAACCTTGGTATAAATCCCTTTTAACCTAATGACACCTCGTAGATCAAAACTCCTGAACAAACAAATGAGTGTGATATTATTTTGAATACATGGTGACAAATTTCTCACTGTAGTTCCTAAACTGTTTAGTTTTGATCAGCTCAAACATCACAGTCCAGCTCAGTAGCACAGCATTTTAAATGGGAAATTCAACATTATGTAATCCACACAAAGATTGCTAAAATTTCTTGCGATTTTCAGAAGCCCAATAAAGTTTGTCCAACTCCACAACCATTTCTACAAAAGAAGTCCTTTGTGGGCAGGGCACTGATGGTTCAGTTGCACAAGTGATCCACGATTAGGAATATTCATGTGTGAAAACAAACGTGTGGTAATGATCTATTCCCCAAAATAAACCCAGAGTTGATCCTGGGTGCAGTAGGAGGACGCCCTGAGAGCTAAGATAAACATGTTGTCGAGGGATGCTGTTTCTCACAGTAAGATGCAGTTTCACTCAAATTTCCAGAGCTGAATTTTGATGTCAGATAAGAGGGAGTTTGAATGGCTAGTAGTCCAAGACAGCACACTGAGGATGGCCTAGATCAGTGGTCATCATCCCTTCTCCAAAGAGATCTACCCCCCTATACAGTTTAGCCCTCACCGTAATCTGCCACACCTGCACCTGATAATGAATGCTTTCAGAAGCTCTAATCAGTTGGATGTGCGAGATTTGGAGTGGATGAGAAACACGCAGGAAGGTAGATCTCCAGGAAGAGGACTGGTGACCACTGATTTAGATCCTCTCTCCTGCTGATCCACAATTTTAAGCATCTGCTAGCTTGCATTAACAGAGCCGGGCAGCTTATGCTTTCCTGAAAATGCATTTAGCTGGCCTACAACACTGCATGAGCAGCAGTTCAAACAGATGTGGTGGCCTCACGTGTCCTAGAAGAATCACGTGGTAGCCCTCACCCTTCTAGACTAGTTGGTGCCGTATGACAGGAAAGATTTAGAAAGTAGATGGGAATTGGACACCACTAACATTTCGGAGATAATTGGATAAAAATCCTTAAAAAAAGCCAAATGTTGGAGAGATCTCAGCAGTACATTTGAATACCTCAAATTCAGCGTGCTTGTGGACATCTTCGGCTCGCTGGCGGTTCAGGATAAACTCAGCTTCATTTGCCACACGCACAATGTGGTCCTTCATGGCATGACACAGGAGTCTAACACAGAGAAAAACAAAGAATCAATAAGGGAAATAAATGGGATAGATTTACACACTACAGGACTACAGGACAAACTACAGGTGATCAGTGATCATTTCAGGTCTATAAAATGTTTGAATAGACTATAGTTCAGTACTATTAGTTCTACAAAATATCTGAGTACACTACAGCACGGTTCTACAAAATATCTGAATACACTACAGCGCGGTTCTACAAAATATCTGAATACACTACAGCGTGGTTCTACAAAATATCTGAATACACTACAGCATGGTTCTACAAAATATCTGAGTACACTACAGCACGGTTCTACAAAATATCTGAATACACTACAGCGCGGTTCTACAAAATATTTGAAAACATTATAGTTCAGTTCTATAATAATCTTGAAACCACTGTAATACAATTCTATAAAATATTTACATACACTACAGTACAATTTTACAAAATGTTTAAATATACTACAGTACGGTTGTACAAAATGTTTGAAAAGTACAATTCTATAAAACATTTAAATACACTATAGTACAGTTCTATAAAATGTATGAATATACTATATTACAGTTCCACATAATGCTTGAAACCACTGTAGTGCAATTCTATAAATCTTTTAAATACTCTATAGTACAGTCATATGAATGGTTTGAATACATTAATACAAAAGTGACCTTCATGCTTGACAAAAACTAGATGTGACTGTATAAAACAAGCATAAGACAATGCCTGCTCATATTATCAGTGTTATCTATCAGGCCTTAAAAGTAATTACAGTCTCACCACTGTCCAACACACAACCCTGAGAACTCACGTTTCATTTAAAATGCTCATTTGTTACAGCTCAAAGGCTACAGTGTCAAGATTACAACCTATTTTACACGTCATTAAGCCAGCTTTGTTTTAATTATGCTGAGCCATTGTGCTTCTACGGCACGTGGAATTGAGTGCAATTTCCCTTTATGTCTCAGGGTAGAAGCCTAATCCAAAACCACATTCATCAAATGCATGCATCTCTTGAAGTGTTGACAAGCACTGAATTAGCTTTTTGAGCCCTGAGAAGGAAACAGGCTGTAAACAACCTATTTTCCTTGCTAATAATAGGAAGGTTGGAATTAAAACTAGGGCAGGCCTTCGCTCCCCTTCGCATGAACAGCATAGACGACAGAGTGCAAATTACACTTCAATTTTCTGTCACACTGTACACTATTTATTCAAATAAAAGGCAGAACGCAGCAGCATTGGCTTTCCACTGGCATTTAGAGCTTCTACGCTGAGACAGGAACACTCCCTTCTCGCAAAGACTTCATAAACGTGGCAGCGCTAGACTGTAAAAGGAAAATGTCACCTAAAACCGCATGTTTGAAAAGCATTTTAAACTCCTACATGCCTTCCAATATAGAGAACTGTTTGTGGTTTTAACTTGGAATCTTTTTAGAAGACGTCATCTTGAAGATTCTGAAAATGGATATCGTTGACTGTTTCAGTTCACGTTCAGAGTAAGTGTTGCCTTACATGCTTTTTCTGATGGAATATCAATGCCAGTGAAGGAAACGTGGGACAAATATGTTCTTTTCCTCTATAAGGGACCACAGCCAACACACTGTGGCAACATAATCTGCAAATCTATAGAAGCCTGTCAAATCATTACTGGTTTCCTTAGCTACGTTTAATGCTTAGTACAATCTAAAAAGTAAATGATGGTGTATTTTTCCCAGTATTGAAATGCCAAGCTAACAGTCCTTCACAGGATACAAGCATAAAGTGCATTATATCTATAGTGACAGATCATGTCTGGGAAATTTAAACCAAGATTTATAGACGGTACATTGAAGGGATGACTGCAATCACACTGTTATTAAACAACCCCTAAAGAGTTGCTACAAGTCTATTTAACCACTTAACCTCTTAATAAGCCATGGGCCCGCTGTCAGGCCCAAAGTTTTATTATACACTTCTATAACCTAAGAATAGCTCCATTAGTTTGCATTGAAGTCCCTGTAGTTACTGAATAATAAGGCTTTGTATGAAATAGACCTGCACTGTTAAGGGGTTAAACCCTAAGGAACACTAACTGTATATGGGTCCTCATTGCAAGTCTTCATTCTTATACCTATATAATTACGTAGTAGTGTTGTAGTAATTACCAAATAATACCTAGTAATTACTGAATAATAACTTGTATGGACTGAAAAATAAGCTTGAGCGTAAGAGATTAAAGTATGTTTTTGCTTTTACTCATTCCTATATTAAGTCCGTACACCACACCATTGTCTTATTACCAAATAACTACCGAAAATGTCTTAGGAGAAATAACCGAATAATAAATCTAAGGGGGTAAATTGAGTCACCCCATACAAACATTGTATAAAATATATAATCAAGACCTGTGTGTGTTTTACTGGGGTTTTTGTGCTCCTTCCCCCTTTTTTCTGTCTATTGCATGTCTGTTGAATGATGATGATGATTATGATGATGAAGATTACTGTCTGGCACTGGCTATGTTACTGGCTAAGCACTGGTGATGTTACAGTAAACAGTGTTCTTCATCACACTCCAGGCCAGTTAAAATGAACAGGTGCCCCACTACAGATGTACAGTGGGCAGAGTGATAGACGTGCCAGCACCCTGGACAGCGCCTGTCACTGCTGACTCAGGCTCTTTGTCCAAGAGCTCTGAGAGTGTGTGTGTGTGTGTGTGTGTGTGGGAGTGGGGGTGGACAGATGGGTCAACAGATGGATATGCAGGCTGAGCCCTGATCAGCTCTAGAAAAAATACCCTGTGTGAACCTGACACACTGAAACACTGAAAACAGTTCTGCATTGAACATATCAGGTTAAAATACATACATTACCATGTAAATAATGTATATAGCATAAACTCATATCAACATAATTATTGTTTGACAACACAATTATTTTATAAGTAGACCAAAAGACAAAATTGTGCTAATGTAATATATCATCTGATCAAAACCGCATATCTCTAAAACTGTAACTTTACAGGAGAAGGAAAAACAGTCCTGTACAGTCTTATACTCAACCTGTAATGTACAGTCATATGCAAAAGCTTGAACACCTCTTCTCAAATTACATGTTTTGTTGATTTTCTAGGTGAAAATAAAGTAAATAAGGTAACATCACCTGTAGAGAACACACTTATCTATGGCCTTTTTTGTGCACAAAAAATCAATTCCTATTCATTTGCTGTGTTTAACATATTGGAAAAAATAAAACAAAATAAATGTGCCATAACTTTTGCACAGGGCACATTTTATGTTTTTTGAAATCATTTTTTATGTTAAATTCAGCCAATAAATAGTAATTATGAACTAAACGGCACCAATGTGTTCTTTTTAGAGGATGAGTATATATTTTCACTTAGGAAATCAACAAAACACACACACACACACACACACACACACACACACACACACACATATATATATATATATATATATATATATATATATATATATATATATATATATACACACACATACACACACATACACACACAAATTACAAGGTTTTGTTCTGACTGATCTTCTATTCATGTGGAAATGATGTACACATAAATTCACGATATCAGTTGAGCGATTCCATTGGCAAATGGCAACTCTTGAAATCTAAATGTCATTTTTCCAACAACAATACAATAATATCTCATTTTTTTCCAAAATTTCTTTACTGATGAGCAACAGGATTGAGTTTTTCAGCATTGAATTAGTAAATACACAAAACATAGTTACCTAACGTTCATGTTAAGGACATGCTAATGAATTTGGACAAAGCAACTTCCTGGTGATCATGGGACCTGTGGAATATTCTAGATATTTAGGGGTGAATGTTGAAAATGTACATTTTTATAACCTATAACGGATGACTCATGAAAAAAGGTTTAAGCATAAGATGTTTAAGGGATTCACACAATAATGCAAAAATGACATTTTTCATGCTTTTTGAAGCTTTTTAATTATTAAATTTGAAGTTAAAGCATAGTTATAGTGGGCTGGGACAGGCAGAAATACTGTATTCTAAGTGTTGTAGGCAGGTTTTGTTAAAGCTATTTATGTGAAAATGTAAATAAGCGGTTGTGAGGTCCCTTTTATGATATTTAAACAATGTTTAAAATGTCTTTTACTTTAATTTACATACCTATTTGTATCAGTGGGACACAAAGTATGCCCTAATCATGGAATTATCCAGTTTTTATCCCAGTATACTGAGATGCTTAGACATAGAGCTAAAGATATGAGTGAGAAAAAGTGACTAAAAAATCGAAAAAAAATTCAACCTTTAGATCCCAAGGCTTATTCAGTAACTACCATCACTTGTTTAGTAATTACTATGAAACTAATATATAAGTTAAAGATATGAGAGTACAGAAGTGTGGACCCTCATACTAGGCCTTGCAGTAACTCATGAGGCACAAACAAAGTAGCTGTTGAAAGAGGCAGTGTGCTGATACTTTAACTACAGTGCCTACTCTCAGAAACATGGCTGCCCCTCTTTCTTCCCTGCATGCTTGCCTCCTTCAATTTGGCTTCCCTCCTGCAAAGCGCACTACAGGGGCAAGAGGCTTATGGCTAATCTAGCCTGCTGCCGCCCCCCTCGGCCCGCCCTCTCAGAAGTGCTATGGTAACTAGACAGCTGAGGCAGGCTCAGACCCAGTGTGCAGGCAGAGGGTGACATAAGCCAGCCGCTTAGTGACTTAGCCCAGGAGCAGCTGCAGGGGTGCTGGGAGTGTTACCTTCCTTCGTTGATAAGCTCAATGAAAGCCAGACCCGCGTTCTTCTGGATGGAGTTCTGCCATTCCTAGAAACCAGAAAACAGAATGAGCATCATAAAGTTGTCTGCAACTATTTCTCATTGAGTTAAAAGCATGTGACTGTTGCAAGTGGTGCAACTGTCTAAGTGTTGGCTGTATTGCCAGGAGATCAAGAGTTCGAGAGGCCCTCCCTTTCCCTCATCACTCAGTGCACTGCTAGCTAACATGGCTGTCTGTAGGCTAACATAACAGAGTTCAGAGTTAGTGTTCTCCTCCAGGTGCGCTGAGCAGTCCAATGACATTATTTGAGAGGTGCTTCACCAGCCTCAGAGGAAACATGTGCTGGCATTTACCCTCCCAGCTTGGTAGCATTGTGTAATACAGGGAGACCTAGGTAGCAGGTGGAAGTTAGCTACAGATAAACTGAGGAGAAAACTGGAAAAAAAAATGTAGAAAAAAAATAGAATAAGCTGGCTTTTATAGATTAGATATAAGATTATCCACTTTTACACGAAAGGGCAGAGTCAAAGGGAAATTAGTGAAAAAACTTGAGTTTCCAAACCTTAAGTTCAAAAAATTATTCTAAGATACAGAGAAAATGGGACTCACTAAAACTCTCCCCATCAGATAAACAGAACTTAAAGCTTTCATCTTTGAGAGAGAGGAGAAAATCAAGCTCCACTCTTGATTCAGATCTGAAACAATCTACAGGTGTTTCTATCCATCCTTCCACTGTGAGAAGACAACTCAGCACTATGAGTGTGAAAGGATGTGCAGCTGTTCAAGAAACCCTTACTGAGTAAATGAAAAAGTGTAGAATGTAGATTAAAAAAACTGAATAAGCCAACCCTCTGTGAAGCTTGTCCCTCCTCACAACAGTTGTGGCATAAGAGCACACTTGTGGGCGGAGCATGGATAGGTCAGTTTTACTGGCCAAGTAAAATGTTATTTGCAAGGAATCTCTCTTGGCAGTAGCTCAAAAAAGTAATTACATAAAAAGTCGTGAAGATTTATGGTGTCTACTGACTGGCTAACAGCTGTGAGACTTCGACTTTGCGGGTCATGTGCGTTGTTTTACTTCGTCAGTCTTTGGCAATATTGAAAAAGTGAGTGAAACAGCTCCACACAGGCCTATAAAACAGTACCAGTAGCAGAAGACTTCTAAAAATGTGGTTCCATACGTCCCTGCCAAGCATTACTCTGCAGCCCAAACCACACTTCAAACACAGCAAAAGGCTGATGGCTCTGAATTTGACAAAAAGGGAAGACGACTTGGAGGTCACGCATCCGCGCGAGAGAGTCGGCGCTATAAAAAGTTCCTGTGAGCACGGGCGCCTGTTCGCCCACTGAGAACAGATCTGTAAACACAGGAGAGATGTAATTGTGGAGTGAAACCGTATCCCCCTCGCCCCTTAAATACAGCCATTTCCTTTCTCCAAGCAACCAAGTGACAGACCACTGAAGACTTCCATCCATAGGCCCTCTGGCTCCACTCGCCTGGAGGGCTGCTGGGACCTGGGGGCAGTTTCTCTCTCTCTAAAACTCTCACACACACTCATAACACGGGTCTGGAGCTGATTAGGAGGCCGTTTGGGAGCCGGGCCACTCACTGTGGGAAAATTCTGCCGCTCTTCTGTTGGCTCTCAAAGGTATGAGTTGCAGGGGGGAAAGGAGCACGGGTTGGGTAGGAGTTCAAAAGAAAAAGAAGGGGGAAAAGAAAAAGAGAAAGGCTGAAAAATGTTCCCAGGTCCTGAGGTGAGGCGAAGCAGGCTTAGAGGGGAGCAGCTCAGGTGCCCAGAGCAGAAATCTGAGTGATGCCCTGAAAAACCTTCACGAACGCTGGGGAAATGTGCTGGACCATCTCAAAATGCCTTGAACATGGAGCTTTTGATAGGTCAGCAGGATTCAAAGCTGGATTCTGGATTCAAAGCTAAGCCACAGATTCGGGTCAGGTTACTCCAGTCTGGTTCTAGATGGCCGGAGCCAAGTCCTGTTCCAACAGACCAGCGAGACTGTGCAGGAGATAATGTGAATTTTGTATTGTATTGTATTTTTTACTGTATGTTTACTGTATATTCATAACTGCTGCAAAAAGAGAATTTTTTAAAAATAAAAATACCAGCTGCCCTTTACATTGTGTGAACATTCCATGACGAGTGGACCAACACAAACATTAGAGCAAACTTTTCAGTATTTATTTCCATTTTGCTATAATTTAATTTCAGAAATACGATTTGTTTTATGACATTATGCAATCTTCACTGTATGTACTTTTTAAAACAGCTATAAAATACAAGCTCTTCATTTCTCAAGAGATATCTCTGCAGATATTAGATATGTGATGCTTGCATAAGGAAGGGGAAAGTCAAAGAGAAGTAAGTTAAAAAAATGGGTTTTCAAAACTGAAGTTCAAAAAATTATTTTAAGCTACAAAGAAAATGAGACTCCTAACAACCATGCAAGACTTGGTAGACCACTAAAACTGTCCCCATTTGATTAAAAGCACTTAAAGCTTTCATCTTTGAGAGAGAGGAGAAAATCAAGCTCCACTCTTGATTTCAAACCTGAAAAAATCCACAGGTGTTTCTGTCCATCCTTCCACTGTGAGAAGACAACTCAACACTATGGGTCTGAAAGGATGTGTAGCTGTTAAAGAAACTCTTACTGAGAAAAGAAAAAAAGAGAAAATTTGCATATCAAAGAAGCTGCTGTTTTTCTCAAAACAATGGACTGACCTCTCTAGAGTCCAGACCTCAACATCAATGAATGTGTTTGGGATTACTTAGACTGTGAAAAGCAGAAAATGCAACCAACTTCTAATACTGAACTTTGGAGGTGTGGAAAAATATCTCTGCAGATTTCTTTGAAAAACTGAAAGAAAGTCTACTGAAAGGAATAGCAGCTGTGCTTAAGACAAAGCTTGAACATGCTAATACTGATAAATGTGATACTATATTTGATCATTGAGGCTTTTGTGCCATTTTCTGTTAAATATGTTTTCCGCTTTTCTGGAATTTTGACCAGTATTTTAAACATTTTCTTGACCACAGAGATTAGTTTTCCAAATGAAATTCTTAAACTTGTGCAGCTTGATAATTACGCTAGTAACTTTAATGAGGTGCATTAGATCAGGAGAAGTTCTGAAGTTTGCAGTGCTGAGGCCCTGAAATACCAAAACTAAGCAACATTGACCAAAGGTCTTTGTAGCTAAATAGCTAAATTAATAAATAAATAATACAGTTCTAACAGGGGAAACATTAAACTGTTCTAATCCTTTCATAACTAGATAAACAAATAAACAAATACACACATACAAGAGTTCAATACCAACCAATAAACCTAAACTTGAATTCTAAATTCTTGCTGAGCTGAGAGAGACAATAGTAGAACACATCTGGTCTCCAAATGTTCGGTGTGACCCCCTCTGTCTCCCCCTGCCTCTCTCGCTCTGCTACACTATCCGCTACCCTTGCTGTAGGCGGACTGCTCCTCATCTGGGGCGAGGGCTGGCCCTGTACAACCCCTTCCTCCGAGCCCCAGCTCTAGCCGAGAGGCGCTCACGTGACAAAAATAAACACAGAAACACACCCAGATGTAGGGGGGACGCTGGCCTGCCAAAAAATGACATCAGATCGACATCGGACTCTTCCCAGACAGCCGAGCCAAATCCCGGTCTGCTGTGTGTTCTCGAGTGGCTCTGAAGACGGACGCTGTAAAGCTCTTTCATGTCATGCCTCTCTCTTTTTTCTCCTCCCTCGGCCCAGGCTGTGAAGTAAGGGCTCCCTATGGGGCGGCTGGATGGGGCTGTGAAGTGAATTAGCACACACATGCACCTCCTGGAGGAGGTAATACGATCCCTCATGTAAATGGGGAGTATGATCACGAACCACCACCTCAGGAGAGAAAGGTTTACTCTGACTGATATGAGACTGGGACTTGATTTTCATCAACTGCTACCAGAGAGACAGTATAAATCACTGGAGAAATGGGGATGATGCTATTGTTTTGGCTTTCCCGTCAGATGCAGGACAAAGAGACAGTTAAAGTCCAGAATCTACTGGAAATGGGGTTTAAGAATGCATTCCATCTAATGTGAAACTGTAGCACGCAACTTATAAATATGTAAATTGATTACATCAGTAATTTCTAATAATATTTATTTTGTATGTACATGCAGGTTACACTCTTAGGCTAAACCATGTATATGTGTTTTTGCCCTGTATTTGAGCTAATGTAGCTAGAAATTAGCTAGTTCTCATTATCAACAATATAGACCAGCTAGGTAGCACAGCACCTAAACTCTTTTTCACAATAGCCAGCATACTTATCTTTTTACATATGCTGCTTTGACAGTACATACTGTCTACATTTGCATTCTCCCCACTCACTCTGTATATATGTACATTATACTTATACTTGCAACATCTATATTTTTTACCACTCTACCGTTCTTAATTGAATATATTGCAACTGTCATATGTTGGATACTTTTGTGCACTTTATATGTAAATAATACTGTATTTTGCACTTCTGGTTAGATGCTAACTGCATTTCTTTGGCTCTGTACCTCTGCACAATGACAATACAGCTGAATCTATTCTAAAGTAACCTAATCTAAAACAATGTAATTTCTGCCTGTTTTGAAGGTCCCTCAGTCAAACTATGCATTTTTTTTCTTTGATAATGCTGATGAAAAGTATTTCAATTGAAATGTCTACGATTTTCAAAACCAGAATTAGATTTTTGTCTTTGTGGGTCAACAAGCAAGTTAGCATTTATAAAAGTGTTTTGTTGTACTTAAATGCTTTTTAGTAGAATCTTTTATTGTACAATCTTTTTGATACTAAGACATTTGCTGTTGTGCTGTCTGTTTTGTCTCAGTATGGGTGGTCTTTGTGGAGAAGTCCTAGTTAATCTGATAACAAAGACTTATAAGAAAAAAGTATTTTATTTTCAATAGAAATACTGATTTCCACTCTGCCAGGGGAATGACCACTAGAGGGCCTTCAGAAAGATGTTAAACTGCTATGTACTGTATTGGTCATACAAGGAAAATTCATCATTTTGCTGCCTAACTATGCCCAATCTGGCGGGCAGCACAGCATCACTAGCAGAGCAGCACCACCTGGGGCAGTGGGGGTTTAAGTGCCTTGCCCAAGGGCACAAGCAGGTATGCCTACTCAGTTGTGGAACCTCTCCCACCACTAGGCCACACCAAACAGGAAAATTGACATTATGTCACAAAGAAAGCTTTTGTGGACAGAGAATGGAAAGTTATCCTCAATTATTAATTATTCTCCATTATAAAAACTTCACATCCACATTTTTAAAATCTTCTAACACCTTCTTGAAAAGGTATAAACTACTTTAGCATACTCTAAACCAATAAAGAACAACACTTAGCAAAGTTCGACACTGTAAACTGTCCACCCAAAACTCTTCCGCAGCCCTTTTTCTGTTCAGTCGTACAGGCCTTTCCTTCTCTCCCTCCAGAGCACAGCATTAATGGGTGCTGGAGAATTTGCGGTGTCTCAATCCGAGCTGTCAGAAGCGAGAGGGAACACTTGGCTTTTATCTGCCCTCCGCTGCTTCCAACATCTGGAGGTCCTCCGTTGGTAAATCTCCTCGGCTCCACGCTTCATCCCTTATGTATGTTTAAGCTGTTACACAAAATCGACCCTTCTGACCTCCGCTACGCTTTCTGCCACTTTGCTGGGTGGAGACACCGCCTGTCTACGGCCTCAGATGAATCGTGGTTATTAGAAGGCATAAATAATAATTAAAAAAAAGAAACAGCGAGATGATTATCACTAATTTATTCATAAAAGTGACAGTTTGCAAACCAGAGCAGGGCGAAAGGTCAGCACAGTGAAACCCCTGCTGTCTAGGAGCATTAGAGGCAAGACGAGCGAGCAAGCGAGCGAGAAAGAGTTTGCATTTCTTAGCCTTGAGGCGAGGGCGTCTCTGCTGGAACACAGCTCCTTCTGTGTAAGGAGGATCTTCAATTGCGGGTTGTGTGCAAAATTAATTTTAAGAAGATTTCTGAAATAGGGATGTATAAGCCATACAAAGTAACAGAGGATAGCTGGCCAAAATACACTCTAAAAAATGAGTGTGCCAGAGAGGGTTCTCTGGAGCGACGCCACAGAAGAGCCACTTTCGGTTCCCTGAAGAATCTTTAAAGAATCATTTTTGTAAATGAGTCGGTGGAGCCCTTCTGTATGCTGTATACTGTATGCTTTATCAATTAGGCCTAATGACTTCTAATCCCAAAAAAATGAAGGAGCCAAATATAAATGTCCCCCAAAGAACCATTTTTGCAAATGAGATGTGCAAAGTCTTTTTTAACAATTAAGTTAACTTCCAAATCTTGAAAATAAAGGTACCAAATGAGAAACAATAGAGGAGCCACTTTTTATTAAAGAACCTTCCAATTAATGGCTCTTCAAAGAATCATTTCTGTTAATGAGATGAACAAATTATCTTTATAATAATTAAAGAACCTCCATATCATGTAAACGTTCTCCACCAATTAAAGTTCTAGAACCATATGTCCAAGTAAAAAAAACCATTTAATTATCTTTATTTTAGGCTTGTATCGAATTGTTATACTATGTGGATATTCCTGAAACTCTCACAAGGTTCTTCATCGTACAAAGGCTTCTTCTATTCATTCATCCATTGAAAGATTCTTCTTGCAGTACCAAAACTGGTTCTTCTATGGCATAGCTCCCAGAAGTCCTTTGGCACATTTAAAGTATAGAGGTTCAAGGAGTTAACAGTTTTTTTATTTGTTTGTTTTCTTAATAGAATCCATATATACAGTACATAAAATCCACCTGAAGTGCTTGAAAAACCTGTAAAATCTAAAGTTACTGTAATAAATCATCTTGCTGTTCTCCAAATCAATCCTTTCATTTTCTGGGGGCCACTTTAGCCTTGCCTTCAGAATAGCATGTGGTAAATCATGCCCTGCGGAGTGCTGGCTGTGGCTGCTGAGCGCTGGCTCCACACAGGCCCTGATGCCTCTAAAAGGACACTGGGCCCAGGCTCTGGTTTCAGCCCCCCTCGGCCCGATCGATAGATCAGGCCCGGCTTCCACCCCAGGAGCTTTCTAATGGCAGGAAGTTCTGGAGCCGCGGTAATGCTATCTGTGCCACGGGGGAGGAGGGAGGAAGAGAAAGGGGCTGAATGATCCTGGATTCAGTAATAACTCCAACAAACGGAGTGCGGGCAGGCAGCATCACTCAGACGTCGGCGATAAAACTAAAGAAAAACGAAAAAAAGGGAACTTCAAAAGGAGACGAGGCCAAACAGCAGGATTCGTAACTCGCGCCACTCAGTCTGGGGGCCAAGCACGTTTATCTGGCTCTCCTATGGATGTGCATAGCTGCATTCACGTTAGCTAAATCTCCTCCTGAGTGGGGGAGTCAGAGATATGGACTCTGCTGAGGTGCCACTGGGTTCCAGAAAGCTCCACCGCTCTGCAAGCGGCAGGCTCCACCAAGAAATAGATGCTGAGGTAATGGCTTCCTTATGGGCTTCCCAGGCAAGAGTGATGGGCTGACAGAAGGTATGTTAAATATCTCCTCCTCTGACGGCAACACTGGGAGCCTGACCCTTTTGAAAGCGAAGGCTTAACAAGAGACCGGGGAGGTCAGCGAGCTGTAATATGTCACTACAAGTTAAAGGAGGGCTGAGAAGCTCCTATAGAGAGTGAGGTAAGGCTGCATTGGGTCGTCCAGGTGGGAGGCTACACTAAGTCATCTGGCTGACATAGGACATATTTTAATATGTAAAATGAAAGGTTACCTTTGTGGTCTTTTAGCATGTAGTTTGGTTGAAATGTGTTATTGTGGAAATTCCTTTAGACAGAGCATCAGACCTATAAGGTCTTTATGTTGAAATAATTAGGCGGCAATAAAAAGTAGCCAAATTATTCTTAAAAGTGAAGGGTTCGGAGTGATGTCATACGCTCAGGAAATCTATACCTTCCAGGGTACAGACGCTGTCACTGGGGTGGTGCAAATATGATACAAATAAAGGCATATAAATATAAAAGATATAAACATGCCTCTTTTCCCCTGAGAACGTGAATATAGAATATTTAAAATTAATTTTAGGTACACAATTGGACCTTAAGGACTATTTTTATGGATACATTTGCATCGTTTGTACCTTGGGGGACTAAAGTTTACCTGGATAGTACCTTTTTTCTGACAGTGTAGAAGAGCCACTTTTGGTTCCCTGAAGAACCTTTCAGTGGAGGTTTCTTTAAAGAAGAATTTTTGTAAATGAGACACGTGAGTCAGAAGAAATCAATTAAGCCTAATATTCAAATCGTAAACAAGCCGAAAGAGGAACCACAGAAGTTCCCCAAAGAACCTTTCAACGCAGGGTTCTTCAAAGGACCATTTCTGTAAAAGAGATATGCATCTTTTTAAGGTTAACAGAACCTCCATATCACGTAAAGGTTCTAGTCCAGTTGAAGGTTTTTCCCACAACAGTTTGTCCAAGCCTAAAACCACTGAAGAACCTTAAGCGTGTACTTCACTGAGGTTGGGTTATGTTCCTAGTTATGCATTCAGGTAATCAGGGATCTGCAGCAATGCATCTGGAAATCAGCCTTCTCAGCCACTGGTTCCTAAAACTGGGCTGGGGCAGACCTGCTCTGCACACAAGGTGTTTTCCCTGGTTCAACACACCTGATCTAACCATTCAGCGATTTACCAAGCCCTTCCTAAGTTGAAGTGAGGATATTAGGGCAGGTAAAACACTAAAACATATAAGACAGGGGATAGACAAGGGTCAGGGCTTCGAAAATACTGCTTTTGATTTAGCTTATTAGCCATCAGAGTGACTTTGAAAAAAAGTGGGACAGAGAGAAAGACGGAGAGATTTACCTGAGAGCAAAGAAGCATGACTAGCTCCACCACAGATGTGCTGGACTTCATACACACCAGACCTGCAGAGGCATAGAGAGGAGGTGACTTTACATATCCTGTTACACACATTGCATATCCTGTTAAACACATCACACTATCCTGTTAAACACATCACATTTCCTGTTACAGACATTATATATCCTGTTACATACATTGCATATCCTGTTACACACATCACACTATCCTGTTAAACACATCACATATCCTGTTACACACATTACGTCCTGTTACACACATTACATGTCCTGTTACATACAACATGTTACATATGACATGTTATACTCATGACATATCCTATTACACATTACACATCCACGCCATGCATTTAGAGCAATGCAAAACCAAACCGCAGGGCCACTGACATTAAGTTTCAACACTGATTAACTTTGCATTTACAGTTTTGACACATTTGGTAAATAAGACTGATTTTGCATTGATACGATTCGGTGTAGAGGTTCTGTCTGCTGTAGCTGCTGTCATGTCCAAGGCCTGCGTGTCAGATGGCTAACATTTCTCAGAGGGCAAGAAAATATCTCTTGAGTGGCCAGAGGTCATCTTCTGCATGTCAGTGTGATATTGCGTCAAGGCCCATAAATTGTGTCAAATGTTTTCCAAATCCTTGTAATGCAAGGTTGGCGCCAGGCACAATGCAGCAGATGTCTTTTGTACAAAATTTAGGACAGTATAATAAAATCACAAAAACCAAAAACTCAAACCTCTCACAGGCTAAAAATCAAATAATGTAATGAATGAAGCTGGTAATTGCATGGCTAAACTGTGTTTCTGCTGTGCCAGCATTGCCTTCAGTGTGTCTTTGTTATGTTGGACCCGCTTTATCATTTCGAGAGCTGCAGCTGAATTCCAGCATGTGGTTATATCCTGGACGAGTGTCTCCTGTTTTTGACCATGAGAGGCTGAAATTTCAGCTCTGCTGTGTTTGCAGGACTGTGTTTGAAATGTCTGACTATTTTACGGCATACGGCTAAAGTAACGACAAACCTGCTGTCACGGAGAGCCACTGTGATGACCATTCCATAAAATAAGCTTGAATGGTAGAATCCTTGCTGCCGCGATCATACTGTGAGCGCTATCTGTTCCTATAGTGGTGACCTTTCGTCATCCAGGTCCAGAGGGAACTTTAATTTTATCTAAATTTCCATCTGGAAGCTTTTTAAAACAAAACCTGCCATTTTGTGTACTAGGGGATGTTTCCTCAGTCATCATGTTATCTATGTTTGTGCCTTCCAGTAAATCTGTGCGGGAATTACGAGATAAAGTTGGGGTCAAACCTGGTAATATGATTCATCTGAGTTTAAAAAAAAAAATGAACTTGTTAAGGTTTCCAGATTAATTGCGTCCGTTAATGCGTTAATGTCGACACCTCTAAAATAAAGCTATTTTTAAATTAACTACTTAAAATGACGGGTAAACCTACGCACGTCTTCTTTGTTTTTATATATATAATGTTGATAATGGTAAAATAGTGGCAAATTTAGATAGATAGATAGATAGACAGACAGACAGACAGATAGATATAAAAAACATCTTGTATGTAACTCTCTGCCATGAACTGATTTAAACCAAAACCTCATCTCAAAATGCTTGTAAAACTGTGCCTCAGGCATCAGGCAGTGTATTCATAACAATTCTATGTAAAAGCTTTCCGTGAGGGAGCTTTTAGAGGCTTTAAACTCTTCAGACGTCTGGTTTCTATCATCACCGCTGTGAATAAGCTCAAATCAGTGAGCTTCTCTACAGTGGAGCATTTCACATCAAACCACTCAATGACTTTTTGGAATCTTAAATACTTCTTTAATAATTCACCTTTAAAAAAACTGTGAAATTCCCCTTTGAAAAATTAATGCACTGAATCGATTCAAAAGAGTAAATCATTTCCACATTTACAGAATACAGTACATCTACACAATTGTGCTTACTGTCTGAAATTCTAATCTAAGGTGCTTATCTGCCTGGGTCATGGGAGGTGCTGGAACCTATCCCAGCGGTCACTGGGTGGAAGGCAGGAAACACCCTGAACTGATCGCCAGTCCATCACAGGGGAAATGATACATATAAAGCAAATACAATGCAGTCATTTTTTACAGCACTCCACTAACATAACACTGCCAGAACAAAATCTTGTTTCTCCATTTCTGCTTCCAAAGTTCTATTTTTAAATTATTATTATTATTATTATTATTATTATTATTATTATTTTTTGTTGCCAGTTACCCTTCACAATGCGTCAAAATTTCATGACAAAGGGACCAACAGAAATAGGCCAAAATGACTTGCAATAACATCTTCCTTGACTTCTTACTTCATCAGCTTCTTTTCAAAGTTCTGAATATTTTATCCTCTCCTGCAAAGTTTATTTTTTGGAGATGCAAAGTTTCTTCTGACAGCTGCAATATATTTTTGCCAGTGTGCCAGAAAGAGAGAACTCTAACTCTAAGGCACTAATATTTCATATTCTTTAAATTCTTGCATATGACTGCACACGTGAGAGAGTGCTGTGTGTAGTAGTGATAGCTTTCCTGAGCTGGTTCGATGTCTTCAAGTGAGTGTGGTAAAAATATGTCCCTTAAAAACGTGGATGACAGTGAATGAAAGCAAGAAGGTGAAAACTAGTCCTATTCACCTTCTAATACAACGTTATTAACATGATGCTAACTGTCCACCTATAAGCTTTGGTGCATTACTAATATTAGTGCTTTTAGATGAAGTATTGCTTCAATTGTGACATTATCAACATTCAAATGAAGCGGTGATGCGTCAGTGTTTATAGGTTTCTTATGCTGACAGCAACATAAAATGAATGATGCTAACAAAACAGTGCTGGTGACAGTTTTTACATATTTCAGTTTATAAATATACGAAATTGTCAATATTTCATTACTGTTTCAAGTTGAGTATAAAAACTGGACAAAATATTGGTGAATTACTGTCATAGAAAAACATGCTTTTACACTATTTACATTGTGTGAATATTTTGTGACAAATTAAAAGCCCAACAATATGAATGTAAATTGTCAATTTTAATATCACTATTGACGACAAAAGTATACTATACTTTTGTATAGTATAAAGTATATACTATACTTTATACTATACAAAAGTATAGTATAAAGTATAGTATATTTACAGCATTTGATTTTTCTGTGTAGTAGCTCACTGAAACAAGCATATGCATCTGTGATATGTAAATATAATAGTCTGAACTATAAAGTAAATATCATAAACTGAATCATAGAGTAAATCTTTAGTCAACAAATCATAAACATATATTATGGTGATCTTTTGTGAATTTTGGTGATGTAGATGTATATATTAAATAACATTTAAGATACAAAGAATACAGAACACACAATATTTGCCTGAACCCTCAGCCACAGTTAGACGGCACGGTAAGAAAAGTATTATGCCTTTTATGTTTTTTTCCCATTTACAAATACTAAAAAAGCAGAGAAATTCTGCTGAAACATGGATTATGAACTTTGAGTTGATGTTACTGTTGAAGTTACTGTGTATTGTTGCCACTGCAGAAAGAAACATTTCTGCTATGTCGATTATTCTTTGAAATGGAAACAAAACAGAAAAATGTAATAAGTGCAAAACTAATGCAGCTAATTTAATAATTAAATTATAAAAATATATAATTCATAATCTAAATATTAATAACTGATTTGTTCTAAGGGTTTTTTATTCTCTTAGAAAGTTACAATCAATTTTAAGTAACACATACTGGGGGTTTATTAAAATCTTATTCTTTGTTCACTAAAGCCCAAAAACACTTGTAAATGATTTATTACTATACCACATACTATATTAATATACTATATGTTATATATTATATATCATATTGGTAACTACACACAATATCACTAAACACAAGTTTTATTTATTATGACTTGTATTAGTAGATAATTGGAAGTCTGTTATCAAGAAGTCACAAATTGCATTAATTTGCATTTAATGCAAATTATATTAAAAAAGCTTGCATTAATAATTATAATAGTAATAATAGTAATAAATAAAATTACCCAAAACACTGTTATTAGCTGTGTCAGCATTTAATTTCTATAGGTTCTACATAGCATCAAGTTTAGTGCTTTATTTGAGTTTTTAACTGTAACAGGAGTTTAATACTTAATACTGAGTCATTATTACTTCAAGATGTGTTCAATATTCTAAAGTGCCATTTAAGTCATCAATAATTAGTTAAAAGCAGCTAAACCAGGTTTCAGTAGGTCTGTTTTTCACCTCTAATTAGTGGTGACTAAAACGGAAAAAATCAGTGACTTATTGAACTCATATGAGTAATAAGTAATAAATAATAAAGTAACAAACAGAAATAAATAAAACAATAACCTAGACACTATCTAGAACATATAAAAATCAAAGGCTGCCAATTCTACACTAATATGATATGACTTTAGGTGATAATTCATCCTCAATAATTAGCATAACAAAATCTTAACATAGTGTTTGTTGTGCATCATTACAATTAATAATTAATTGGTGAATTTTGCACAACAGACTTCTAATTATATGCACCGTCTACCAAATTAGCTTAAACTGTGGCCCCACAGCAAAAAACAGTTAAGTGGTCAGACTATACAGACCAGATATTTACAAGGGTTATAATATGACCTTTAAATTCAAGGCATTAACAGATACAGTAATAAACTAAATATATACAAAATCATTATTTAGAGCATACTTTTTTGGGAGGTGGCTGTCCCAAACCCCAACCGCTAAGTTTACTTTTATTTATTTATTTTTTTTGGGAAATTTTTTCACTGCTTTTTTTAATCCCTTTGGGCTTCTTTCAAAGTGAAGCTGAAAGATGTATATTTTTGGAACAAATTAAAGAAATGCGGTGCCAAATTTCCATGTCACTACTGAAACGAAGAGTTTCAGTCTGTAGGTCTTAATTTAGTCTTACTTTAGCCACACCCCTGCAAGTAAATGTGTCCCAAACTCTGAAAATCAGTGTGTAACATTAAGAATTATCACA